ATTATATATATATATATATATATATAATTAGAAGACAACCTTCATCTTAAAATCTCACATCAACTAGAAATAAGGTAATTAAAAAGAATATATAAGTAGAAAGACAACTCTCATCTTACAAGTCCCACATCAACTAGAGATAAAGTAATTATTTATTTGTACTCATCTTACAAGTCCCACAAAGTAAAAAATGTCACAAAAAGATATACACTTTTTTCGATCATTAAGGATTTTTACCAGCATTTTAAATAATTGTCGCTAAATATTTTAGCGACACTGCATACAATGGCTAATGTGAAAATGCCCGTAAAAGATTTTGTAACAACTTTTATTGCCACTAAAAGTCATATTAAATGCCACTAAAAGTCTATTTTGTTACAGTGTTTTGTCAAGAAAATTCAAATGTATTTTTTTAATGAGTTAAAGTTGCAGAAGACCTTTATACTTATCCAAAAGCTATAAGGTGTTCATTTCTCGTAAAAAAAAAAAAAAAAAAGTGCTTGTTTTTATTTACAATATTTATAATTCAGTGATTTCAACCAATCGTGTCCTCCTTCATTCATTCTTAATTTTTGCTACTATAAATAGTTGGAAGATAACATAAAAGGCATAAGAATCTGCAAGAAACAATTATGTCTATGCTTGGGGACCAATCAGTAGCTCCTCATTCTTTAGAGAAAGAAGCCATGGCTGCCCAACCCAAACCTCAGAACAGACCCGTTTCTAACATCGTCATCATCGTTGGTACCTTACTATGTTATGTTATGTTGTCTTTTTCATTTGATTAGTGTTAATATTAGCGTGAAAAACAGCTATGCAGACTGAGGCACTTCCTGTTGTCAATAGGATCCAGCTCACTCAGGACTTTCACTCTTCGTAAGTATCTCTTCATTTTTATTTTTATTTTTAAGATCACTTACTCTAATTAGTCCAGAAAAATCTTAGATATATTATTGAAGGTAATTATAATGTTGTCGTCGATAAAATTATATTTTATTTGAGTAATATATGTATTAACATTTAATAAAACATTTTATTACAAATATTATTGAAATAAAATTTTAATTTTGATTAGAGGATAATACTAATAAGTTGTACCAAATTGTATATAAGTTTTTAAAATAATTTTTGATTCTTAGAAGTTAGAATTAGTTTGGACTTGTTTTTTTAATTAACTAATTTGTTGATCTTTACATATATGCACGGGTCACATGCAATTTTATGTATGTATGTTTAACTTTTATTTTTCTTTTTTTAAGTTAAATATTTTAGTGTACAGTTTATATACAGAAACTAAATAGAAAAGGTAATTTGTAATTTAATAATAAATTACTAGTGTAATTTTCAAAAACAAATAATTTTTTATTGAAAATATCACATGAAAAGGATATTCTTTTATGATTAAAAATTATTTGTTCAAAAATAAAATATGGATATATTTTTTTTAAAATCATATAAGTAGGCATGAAAAAAAAACATTGTAAAAATCAAAAATATTACATATGTTATTGAATAAGATGTATAGATATAGTAATAGTAATTAGTAAATAGTTAATAGAAATAGATTATCTGTTTATGTTTTACTGAGAGAGTTGAAGTAAACTGAACCTTTGTTTTTGACGTATATGCATTGATTGAAGTGTTTATGCACAATGGTGTAGGTTTCCGCAAGGGGTTCCTTGGGTCCGTTATCATGGGACATACAAAGATCTCAATATAAACTTGATTTGGGCTGGAAAAGATCCAGCATTGGGTAAGAATTAAGATGTTTGTTCTTTTTGTTACAGAACTGAAAATTTATGAGTTAGTTAAGTTGTTAGGACTACTTAGTTGTAGTTAATTACCTCTCTTATAGGTTCTATAAATAGCTCTCAAACTTCTTGATATATGTATCTTTTATTAATCTATTACAAATATTTTTTTATAGCATTCATTTGTTGTATTTTGAGCTTTATGATGTGTGGTCACATTATGATAGTCTTACTTGTGTTTTCTCTCAAAATACATGATCTCAAATTTTTTATTTAATTCTTACTGCACCGCTTCTAACTACTCATAAAGTTATGGGTGGTATAACAGTTTTCTCTAGTTAAATTCATATTTGATTATTCACACGTCTGGGAAAATATTGCAACTTGTTGCAAGATGTATTAATTTTTTGGAAGAAATGTGATGATATGATAATAAAGAATGGGCGAATGATCAAAGATTGCAACGCATACTACTTAAAGAGTTGGAAAGAAAGACTCTACTTAAAGATATTTAATGAAAATTAATCATTAACAAAATCAATATATATTTTACACAAATCTTATAATAAAAAAATTCATTTAACATTACTCCACCACATGTCTTCAAGGAACATAATTTAAATTTTCATTTGACAACTCCTGATCCATTTCTTTTAGGGGTTGATAGTATAGGCACAATACCATCTGCTCTTGTAACATATGCTGCTATTCAAACATTACAACCAGACTTGATCATAAATGTAGGCACTGCTGGTGGCTTCAAGGTTGGCATTGTCTTCTCCCTCATTCCAAGCAGTAGCATAGAGATGCTGATTTTCTAGTTTTGTACTCCTAAATGTCTGTATGTTGTGTTGTTTTTTGATCTTTTCCTAGTTTAGCTAGCTTTAGTTCTCTTTCCTGTGAAATTGTTGCTCTATTCATTTTGCAATAATTGATGGTAGTGAATGATCTTATACAATGTTTTCCCATCTTTACATACACTGGTGATGGAGTTGATAGGAATGTTTTGAATAAACATTTCAAAGAAGAAAAAATTACCCTGTAATCTATGTTAAATAATACTTTTTATATTCTAAAAGAAAGTTTTTGTAATTAACTTACAAGAGAAGTGCTCAAAACCAATTAAACTAAAGCATAATTTGAAATTGTAATCAATAATGGTCATTATGTCTTAAAATTTTACATACATATATGTTGTTTTGGAATTAAATATTGAATTGAACTAAAAATGTATGACTATTTTTAAGTGGATTGACAATATGGTAATGACTTTTTGATGACAAAATTATGTTTTATTTGCATGTGCAATTGTGATATTTTCCACCATTGATTATCATGTATCATATTTTTCTAAATAGTGTTCATTATTGGATACTTTCAGGCCAAAGGAGCTAGTATTGGTGACATTTTCATTGTATCAGATTGTGCTTTTCATGACAGAAGAATACCCATACCTGTAAGTGTCGTGTTATTCCTCTTGGTAGATCTTGACTGTTTTATCTTTTGCTTTCTTCTCTACTTGAAGTGTGGTTGCAATGTAGTAAGGTAGAAGTTTTGCTGTCAACATCAAATATATATGTGATGTCTATTGCAGGATTTTGATCTGTATGGAGTCGGTTCACGAAAAGCCTTTGAAACACCCAACCTTATAAAGGAGCTTAATCTAAAGGTGTGTGTTATTTGTAATGTATGTATAACCCAATTTATGAACTGATATGCCTTGTTGGATAAATATTTCTGCTGATAAAATGAAGATTTACATGTTTAATTCATTTCATTATTTTTAGATTCATTTTGTGAAACTTGAGCATTAAACAATAGTTGTCCATATATCAGGTGGCTAAACTGTCTACCGGTGACTCTTTTGACATGACACAAGAAGATGAATCATTAATCAATGCAAATGATGCCACAGTTGTAGATATGGAGGTAGCCTAATTATTTGCGTTATAACTTGGGACATTCCACTCATCTATTGGGAATGACATGAATCCACATATCCACAGACAACATCTTGTGTCCTCAAATAAATCCCCATTGAAATCACGGATGACTGAATAACTAATAGTTGTTTTCATCTTTTCTTTGTTGAAATATAGTCTAAACTTCCCGTTTCAACTTTTTCTCCAGGGAGCTGCTATTGCTTATGTTGCTGACCTTCTCAAAGTTCCTGCAATTTTTGTAAAAGCTGTGACTAATACCATTGATGGCGAGTTTGGTAACAAACCATCTGCAGAAGAATTCTTGCAGAATTTGGCAGCTGTAACTGCTGAACTTGCTCTGGCTGTCGAACAAATTATTAATTTTGTTAAAGGAAAGTACATATCTGAACTTTAACCACTCAATTTCACCTTTTGAGTTTTTTTATATGCAATGTTGCATGGTGGGATCCGATTGAACACTACTGTTGCTGATTGGGAATTATAAACTGAAGATAATGCAGCCCTACCTCCCATTTCTCTTTTGTACTATTCTGGCCTTGCAGGCTGTATAAATTATCTGGCATTCATTGTAAACATGTACAATGGCAACCTTTAAGTGGACACCATAGTGCAATATGGTTGATTATTGTCTTTGAAGTTTTTCATGATGATGGAATGATTTAGTAATTTGACTTTGACAAAAGTTATGACTTGACAAAAGCTTGTATCTAGTAATTTTTGTTTAAACCAAAGGTTGGTAGTTCTTAACTGCAATCCAAACATGATAAAAAAATTTGCATTCCAACTTCACTTTTTATATCTGAAGTCAAAATTGAACAACTATTGTCTATGAACTTGTCACGCTAGCACTTCAAATGCACACTTTTGTTAGCATTCCTTTTGTGCTCAACAAAGTGTACCAAAAATTCCCCGTACAAAGAAAATTTAAAATTTCCGGTCACCATAGCTATTGATCCATTGTATAGACTATAGATTTGGTCAGCAAATTACACTGATTAGAGGCATTTGGATTTGATTCTGTTTGACACTAATTGATTAAGTTCTAATATCTTGCCTATAATATTAAGAAACTAACATAAGAAAACACAAAATAAATTATAAGGTTAAACTTAAAATAATTTCCATAATTTTACTTATTTTATTTTTTTCTCCTTATAATTTAAAATAGACATTTTTTACTTTCTATATTTATCTTTTTTTAATCCTTTTAATTTTATAATTTAAGATAAATTTTTTAAATATTTATACTTACAATTTTTTAATCATTTTAATCTCTATCGTTAATTTCTTTTGTTTTATAACGTTCTTTTATTTTGTGTTAATATGTAGAAAATTTTAATTTTATGAAGGTAAAAATAATAGTATTTCAATAATGTGTGTCAAATGAAAGTATAAAAAAGATACGAAATATAAAAAAAATCTAATTTAAAATATAAAGATTAAAAAGAGTAAAAAATTAACAATAAGGACAAAATGATTAAAAAAAACTGCAAGTATAAAAATTAAAAAGATGTATCATAAACTATAAGAACTTAAAATGACTGAAAAACATAAATATAAAGACTAAAGAAATTATTTTATACTATAAAAACAAAAAAAATTGAAATTATAGGGATTAAAATATATTTTAACCAAATTATAATTTACACTAAAATAAAAATAGATAAGAGCTGAATTTTCTAAAAAGTTAACGTATATTATTAGCTTCAAATATGATTTTTTATTTTAATATCTATAAAAAAATAGTCATTTTTAATCTTTAAAAAAACGTAATTTTTTTAATTCATAATAAAGTAAAATTTATATAATTTTTGTCAAACATAAAAATTATAAATAAATTTTTTTTATTCAAACTTAAATAAAAATCATATTTTAAAAGATAAAAATATTTAATCATTTATAAAATTTTGTCTCCGAGAATAATTATTGCTTCATGACAAACTTAAAATTGTTTTTTTATACAGGACTTAAAATTGTATTTTTATGGACCCTTTGATCCTAGCAGAAAAAATTATATTTTTCTTTGACATTTTTCTTCTTTGAGAAATAATCCATCAAGGCCCCGTCATGTGTTAAATGTCAGTATTTATTTCAGTAAAAATTGGTCACGATGTGAGCTTAATTTGAGGTGTTAATCCAATTCGTGGGTGGATATACTTTAAATTATTATTTTATTTGTAAATTTATTTTTGAAATTTTTTTAAAACATGAATATATATTTTAAATAAATTATGAATAAGTTCATGTAATCTGAAAAATAATTTCAAACGAAATTTTGTCAAAATTAAAATGCATTTATTAAATTTTTTTAAGTATATATTAACCAAGTTAAAAATTGCGGATTAGGTTTATATTTATGTGTTTATTCCGCGTAAAAAAAAATAAATTGTTCCGTTATTTATCAAACAATCGTATGGCTTTTCAAAAAGAAAAAAAATCAAACAATCATATTGTGTAATCCTTAGATCAATTAGTAGTTCTTAATTTGTGAATTATATATATTGGATATTGGTGTTGCGAGGAAATAGAGATAGAAGAAGAAAAGTCATCAAAAGGCATAAGAATCTGAAAGAAACAATAATGTCTGCGCTTGGAGACCAATCACAGGAAGAACCCATGGCTGCCCAACCCCAACCTCAGGACCGACCCATTTCTAACATCGTCATCGTCATTGGTACCTTACGATGTTATGTTATGTTTTGTTTGTTGTGTTTTTCATTTGATCCTCTTAATGTTCATGTTAGTGTGGAATAACAGCTATGCAAACAGAGGCACTTCCGGTCGTCAATAGGTTCCAGCTCACTGAGGACCCTCAATCTCCGTTCGTCCTTCTCTCTCTCTCTCTCTCTCTTCATTTTCTTAGATTTTAAGATCACTTACTCTAATTAGCTAATCACACACTTTTCTTTTATTTTAGCTCATCTCACTGCAAATTATGTTTTTAGTTTTGTACAGCATCTTAGAATTTGCTTGGGCTTGGTGTTTTAATTAAATATGTATTTATTTTTTTAATAGGGAGAGGGGGGTTGTATTTAACATTGATTTTGGTGTTTATGGACGATGGTGTAGGTTTCCACAAGGGGTTCCTTGGGTTCGTTATCATGGGACATACAAAGATCTCAATATAAGCTTGATTTGGCCAGGAAAAGATCCTGCTTTGGGTAAGGATGTTTTCTCTTTTCAATTTGATTCTTACTGCATCACTTTTAACTACTCAAAAAGTTATAGGTAGATTTCATAATTTTCACTAGTTAAATTCATATTTGATTCTTGTGCAGAGAAATATTGCAATGTGTTGCAATTCTTGATTAGGTTTACGGTGTATTGATTGTTTGGAAGAAATGTTATGAGCTGCGAATAATTCATGGGTTGCTATCCCAATCAAAACCATTACGAATGAATATAAAATCCAGGGTTTCTGCTGATTTTTATCAGGCCTGGACTTTCTTTATTTCCTGATTGTGTTCCATGGGCAGTAGTTCGGGCTTATGCTGGAATAACTATTTAACATGCTATCATTAGCATCAGCCTAGTGGTGGGGGGTTGGGATAGTATGCACAAGGTCTTAGGTTTGAACCCTAGTGTCATCATTGTAAATTTGATGGATCAAGAAAAAAAAACTATTTAACATGCTTCCACCACTTGTCATCAATGAACAAAAAGAGAAAAGTGGCAATTTTGTTTTTGGCTTCAAAATTTCATTTGACAAGTCCTGATCCATATCTTTCAGGGGTTGATAGTGTAGGCACGATATCATCTGCTCTTGTAACATATGCTGCTATTCAAGCATTACAACCAGACTTGATCATAAATGCAGGCACTGCTGGTGGCTTCAAGGTAGGCACTGTCTTCTCCCCTCTTTCCAAGCTGTAGTGTTAGAGTTGCTGGTTTTCCAAGTTTGTAAACCAGAATGTTTGTATGTTGTGTTATTCATTGATCTCTTTATAGTTTAGCACTTTAGCTAGCTTTAGTTCTCTTCCTAGTTTTTCAATAATTGATGATAATGATCATATACAATGTTTTTCCGTTCTTTATATACACTGGTGATGGAGTTGATAGAACTGTTTTGAATAAACATTCTAAGAAGAAGAAAAATCTTGACCTTGTAAGCAATGTTAAATGTTAAAATAATACTTTTTGTATTCTAATTTTTTTTTTTTTGTAATTAACTTTCAACATAAGTGCTCAAACCAATTACACTAGCAATATTTTTAATCAATATTGGCCATCGATTTTATGTCTTATAATTTTATATATAAATTGTAATGAAATCAAGAAATGTATTATAATAAAATTTATGACTATTTTAAGTAGATTGACTATATGATTGTGATATTTTGATGACGAACTTATGTTTTACCTGCATGTGCAGTTGTTCTACTCCCACCATTGGTTTACATGTGTCAAATAATCACTCTTTATAGTAAATTAAAATCTTATATTGACTATTATGTATATAGCTAAAATATTATGATGCATATATATATATATATATAAAAGGGGGGATTCATTTACTCCAGGAGTAAGTTTATTTAGACTTACTTCGTTCAATAACTTATATTCTACATCAAATTTTAACAATCCAAGCATTCAATTTAAAGTTCTTAATGCATAGATCAAGTTTGCAAATTTTAAAAAAAAATTGAGAATCAGTTAATACTTTATTTCATTAATTCAAATTGTCAGATAATCATAAAATCATTTTATATGTTGATTAGAAATAATGAAACAAAATATCAAATGGTTTTCAAATTTTTTAAAAATTTGCAGAATTGATCAATGTATTAAGAATTTTAAATTCAACGGTTGGATCGTTGAAATCTAATGTAAAACATGAATTATTGAACGGAGTAAGTCTAGGTAAACTTATTCCTAGAATAAACGGGTTTCCCCTATATATATATGTGTATATGTGTGTGCGTGCATAAACATGTTTTTCTAAATAGTGTTCATTACTGGATGCTTTTAGGCCAAAGGAGCTAGTGTTGGTGATATTTTCATCATATCAGATTGTGCTTTTCACGACAGAAGAATACCCATACCTGTAAGTGTTATTTTATTCCTCTTGGTTTGTTGTCTTTTGCTCTCTTCTCTACCTGCAGTGTGGTTGACTATGCTAAGTTTATATTTAAGACTGCGGTGAACAGAATAATCTACTGTTGTATTTGGTGGTGTTTGCTTGTTGTGCATGTATGTGTTGGGGAAGGGGGTGAGGTGAGGGAGAAGGGTAAGAAAAAATATCTAGTCTCTAGTTTTGGCTTTTGTTCTATGTAGGATCCTTTGTTATTCTTTTTATGTATATCTCTTCTCTTCGTCCAATTATATTATTTTATCCAAGAACAAGAATAATAATGATTTTCCATGTGGTGAGTAGGAAGTTTTTCCATCAATATCAATATATATTTATGTGATTCCTTTTGCAGGTTTTTGATCTGTATGGAGTTGGTTTACGTAAAGCCTTTGAAACACCCAACCTTGTAAAGGAGCTTAATCTAAAGGTTAGTGCTGTTTGCTAAAATGTATATGCTTTGCTGAAAACAAAACTCTTTGTAACGGTTAGTCTTATTAAAAATTCAAATTACCGACTCATATCCCTTCATATCACAAAATATTTTGTAAATTAGTTGCCATTTGTTAACCAGATTACCTGGACTGAAGAACTGCTCATGCATCTTGAGAAGTTTGTGCCTTCCTTCTTTTAATGATTGTCTTGGCTTGACATTTTGACAAAGGAGTTCATTTTGGATTAGTCATTCTCAGTCTCACCGACATCATATATTCATATTTATGTATGGTTAATTTAGGGATTAAATTTGAAGCTAGCATATCTTAATGTGCATACAATGCATGTGTACCCTAGTATATGAATTGATATGCCTTGTGGGATAAACATTTCTGCTGATAAAGTGGAGATTTACATGTCTAATTACTTTTCACTCTCGGTCATAAATGAATGAAGAAAACATAAACCACTTTATGCCAATGTAAAAAAGTGTTAAGCTTCCACCAGGTTGTTAGGCGTTACTGTTGTCAGGTCATTAATATATTTATCTCTCGCCGTTATTACTTGTTACTTTTTTGTGTGTTCTTTTGAGGCAAGGCAATACAATCTTGGCATAGTTTGGAGTTTGAGGAGATTACAACTGTGTTACTACCTTTGCGTTGATAATCTTAAAGTGAATAAAATGGCTTTAAGCTAGATCATAATAATAATAGTTGCTCACTGTCTGTCAAACTATATAAAGATCCTACTTTGAAACTAGGTTATGTTCTGTTTTACACAGTTCAAAGTCAAAACACATTAAAATGTACTTTGATTTGCTTCATTGTGTTGTTGTCGGTGCCCAATTCTTATAATTGTTTAGATTAATTGTACAAAACTTGAACGCTAAACAATATTCATGCATATTGCAGGTGGCTAAATTGTCTACTGGTGACTCTTTAGACATGACACAGCAGGATGAATCATCAATCATTGCAAATGATGCCACAGTTAAAGATATGGAGGTAACCTGATTATTTGGGTTATACCTTGGGACATTCCACTCATCTATTGGCATGGCATGAATCCACTTATTCACAAATAACACTTTGTGTCATCAAATAAATAAATCTCCATTTAAATTGCAGAGGACTGAATAACTAGTAGTAATTCTCATCTCTCCTTTGTTGAATATAGGCTTAACTTCCCTTTCAACTTTTTCTCCAGGGAGCAGCTATTGCTTATGTTACTGAACTTCTCAAAGTTCCTGCAATTTTTGTAAAAGCCGTGACTGATATCATTGATGGTGACAAACCAACCGCAGAAGAATTCCTGCAGAATTTGGCAGCTGTAACTGCTGCACTTGATCTGGCTGTTGAACAAGTTATTAATTTTATTAATGGAAAGTACGTATCTGAACTTTAATAACCCAAATTCACCTTCCGAGTTTTTTTTATATGCAATGTTGCACGGGGGCCTCCAATTATACACTACCTTTATCGATTGGGAATTTGTGAGATTTAAGCAAAAATATAAACTATATTTCTGCCCCCACCTCCCATTTCTCTTTTGTACTATTCTGGCTTGCAGGCTGTATAAGTTATCTTGGAAAGATTGTGTGAATCATTGTAAAATGTACAATAACATACTTAAGTCAACTGCTTAAAGCAATATGGTTGATAGTTGTCCCCTTAGTTTTTCGTTATATTGGAATAATTGAGTAAACTTGATTTTAATAATGGAAGTATCATAGTTCGTGGTTGCTGCAATTTGTTTGGGATCTAAATTTGCCACTTAATGCCAGTTGTAATTTATGGCCTGTCAATATTGATTGTTCGGACCTGAGGCAATCAAAAAAGCCTCGTTTCTTAAACGCAAATAAGCTAATGAAATTCATATACTAGAAAAGGACATCTCATCTCAGGATTCCAGACAGAATCTGGCGGAAGGGATAACAATCATTGTAGTGATAAAATATACTGATCCTTCATCTGTAGTATGTAGAATTCGGTCTCGAGATTCATTTCTCTTAAATTATGCTTGCATCCGCCAACTGACAACTTCCATGCTATATAATACACTAGGGTGCATTGGTATTGGTTACAGTTCAAAACGCTGAAAAAACATTTAAGAGAAGTTGGAAAACATGTCTTAAACTTGCGACTATCCCGTGTTCTAGTGATTTTTGTTTAAATCAAAGTTTAGAATTTTCAACTGCATTTCAACACATTCTAAAATCTTAATGTGCCTGCTGACCAACTAATCACGAATTATATTTGAAGTAATAATTACATACCTAAATGTCTCATTCATTATGAACTTAAAGGGGGTTCCAATTCCAAATGTTTATCTAAGCTTACCACTTACCGAACATGTAAAAAAATTAAAACAAGACAAGCAATTACTTACTACATGAATCTAATATAATTCGTTAACATTCTTTTTATTGCATCATAAATTAAATTTATTACATTTACTGGTGAAATTCACAACTGCACCGCGTATAATTTCTTTAAATTAGAATTTTCAAATATTTATACTTTATTGATATCAAAATGTTCTTTAATCAGTTAAATTAAAGTTTTTCAATACTATTTTAACTTATTCTTTTACATCTTTTAAAAAATATCCGGGTAAAATACACGGGATACCTAGTTAACTGTTATGAGGCTTGGTGTTGTCAAGATCAAGAAGCTGTTTCTGGAACGAATAGAGAAGAGATGTTGCTGGTTTTGAACGTAGCTATTAGACGCTGAGATTACTCGAGGACCATTCGTAGCAGGGACCTAAGTGTCTTACTGTTATTGTCCGTTTCTCTTATACTCGTGTCAAGCATTAAACTCTCAAAATGCTAATTTTGGACACGGAGAAAGAAAAGCTTGAAAAATACTTTAAATCTAAATGTTATGGAAAAAAAAGTCCCTTCAAAGCAACCTTTATAGTGACTGCCTCATTGGCTCAAGTCATGCAGTTAACTTAGGATAACGTGGAATATTTCAATCAAGAACTGAATTTCATGAGCCTAAGCAAATAGACACATTATGTGTAACGCATTTCCAACTGGAAATACTGTATACCTTAAACATAAATATTTAAGTTTTTCCTTCATCTCTAACTTTACAAAGAACCAGCTTTTTCAAAGGAGCCAAACTTTTTCAATGCACTATGGACTCCAACAATGATAGCCGACCATATAGTTAATTTAAATGCAAGTATGCAGTGAAGTGAATCTTCAATCACACCACTCCAGAAGGTAGGCGGAGAACAAGCTGTCCCCCAAAGACACTGCAATAAATTAAATATCATAAGGACAAGAATCACACAGGAAACTTCGAGACATTATCAGCAAAACTGCAAAAACAATTGTCAAAGAGCAAAGACCTACATAATGCACTCAACTAACCTTTTGACATAATAGTAACAGAAATCAGCTAAGATAAAAGTCTGGACAATTTCTGAAATAAGCACCATTGACGGCCATAATCCATACCCCAAGGCAACCAACAAATGTCCACGACTATCTAACACCTGTTACAAGAAATGATAACTTAGTGGGAGACCAGCAATTCGTAAATCCAATAAGTTGCCCCACTAAAGCAATGTGCTATGAACAGGAAACTAATATCCCTAAGATTTTGGTTTTTAACCAAGTTCATCAGCACCATCTGATTCATGTTGCCGACCTCACCTGGCAGGATAAGGCTATTGTTGTCAAAAGATAAAACATACAATTTATACAAACAATCAAAGGAAAACAGATACAGGCAAAATACATGGCCCTGTAATACTTCTAGAGGAAACCTGATTATTATACCATTGGAAATGAAAGCCAAACTTCAAATTATAAAGTAACTATAATTATATTCACATTTGACTCCCTGATCAAACAGAAAGCTAATCCTACAAAAGTCATCTTAGTGATAACAGACGCCAGCACAAGCCAGCAAACAAGTGACAACTAAATTTGAAAATAGTTCAAAGAGCTGACTAATGCAATTACAATTTTAGATGAACAGATTATACCTGAAGAACCCAATGAGCACAGCTCAAGAATCTGGCGACACCCAGAGCAAATACATAATGTGCTGTGAATGGCTCAACAATCTGAAAGCATAGAAATGAAATGAAATTAAGAAGGAAAGGAGTATGATCAAATAATGTATGTAATATGAATGATGGAAATTCTTATATACTTTGGTGTTCTGCATGACTCGCAATTGGGGTAGTACTGACACAGCTTCAAGATATACACAGAATGCCCAGAAAATCCTGTTCAATAAATGATGAGAAGTTGATGGATGAATAAACAAGGCTAACACAGCACAGGGTATCACCTGCATTCAATTTCAAAAATAGAGCAGGTAAATGCACGAGTAATGGTCAATAAGTGACAGAACAAATCTATTCAAAAAAGGAATGAATAAAAATCCCTTGAAGTTGAGTAACCAAAACCACGTTAAAAATGGTCTACAACAGTTACTATAAGATGCCATGGCTTTTTCCTTGGTGCAACAGGTTATTGTTTCACGGCTACTATCCATCAGGTAGCCTTGATATAATGTCAGCTTCCTTTAAAAGACAAGAATAATTTTAAAATGAAAAGATAGTGGGGGAGCTTACCACATAGTATATAGCAAAATTGTCTTTCTCCTCCATGTAACTAGACTTCAATTTAAAACGAATCATGTATATAACCCAGAGTGTCGTTGCCAAAGTAGCCAAATCAAGCAGGGTGTGTATGTCATATTCCATAACAAAACTGCAGTACAGCCTGACAGCTAAAAATATAGCCGTCAATTCCTGGGATTTGAGCGATAATCCTGTACATCACAAAGAGTTATGATAAAAGGCATAAACAAAGTTAGAGGTGCCAAAAGCATTAGCAAAATTAAACAAAATGATTCTTCCTCTTTTCATTCCCTAAACAATAGGAATTCAAATAAGCCAAACGATGACATTAATTAATCGCACAATAAGAACGCTTAGAACCAAACAATTTCTTGATGCTCTAGGTAGGTCACATTTAATATCAAATTTTTCATAAGAAATTGCAGAAATAGTCAATCAAAAAATGAAGAAATTAACAAGAAAAATAGTTTTAGACATGAAAATTAGGGGACAAATCCTAATAATAATAATAAATAAAAGAAAGAAGTAAAAGAAAGGGGTAGGTGACGGACCGGCACAAGTTTTCTCTTTGATGAGCTTGTAGATGAGAACAGAAATTCCAAGGGAGTGGACAGCCTCGGCGGCGACGAAAAGGTTGTCGTGATCGTGAACGATGAAACGGAGAAAGACGAGAGCCGCCATGCCGGAAACGACGGCGAGAAAAGCCTTCACCTTTGGGGGTTGTCGCCGCACCCATGTCGTGATCGCGTGGATCGACTTTCTCCCACCCCTCATTGTTTCCTTCCGCCAATTAATTCTTTTGTATATGATTATGCGTTCTTAATTGCAAATTGCAATGGAGGAGATGAGATGAGAGCGATGGTTGATTTTCCTTTCTTTCCCCCAAACTGATGAATTAGGGCACAACTCCAGCGTCAACGTCAACTTGAGTCGTTGCAGTTTGCAGATGCAATTCCCACCCAATCTGCCAATGCCCCCAACTTCCCTTGAGTCTACATATTTATGTCTCACCACTTTCTACTTTCTACCCTACCAAATCATTTTTTTCATTTATTACCAAAAACTCACAATGTATTTTCATTTATTTTTTTATAATTAAAAATTAAAAATAAGTTAATAATAAAAATTTTATAACAAATATATTATAATTCAATTTTATGATAATTAAATATTTTTACTAAAAATTATATTTTATTTTTATGATAATTATTTATATTATAATATAAAATTATTTTTAACTATAGATACTTTTTAAATATTTATATTTCATATAACAATAAAAATGAAAATAATAAATTTAAAAAAAATGAAGTTATTAAAAAAATTAAAAACCTTCTCGTTTGAAACTAGTTTTTATAAAATACTCTTATTTGAAATTAGGTTAAATTACATTTTTATCTCTAATATATAATTCACAATTTTAATTTTTAATTTTTAATTTCACAATTTAAGTACTTTAATTTTGTAAGATCAATTTTAGTCTCTTTATTATATTTTAAATAGTTAATCATTAAAATTATATCATTGATCATAATTTAATATTAAATAAATGACATAAAAATTAATATTTAAAAATATTTATGTTAAAATTTACTTTTAATTTCGTCTTTTTTTTCTTTTAAAATGTTAAAATGAGATGAAAATGCAATATAAATAGAAACTAAAAATGTAATTTAATTTATTAGTGGACATGTCATCTATCCAATATTAAGTAATGATTAATATTATAATTTTAAAGATTAATAAATAAAATTTTAGTGAATGATCAAAATAACGGATTTTACAAAATTGAAAGACTAAAATTATAAAATTAAAAATTAAGAGACTAAAATTTTAAACTTTATATTATAAGGATTAAAAGTAAAAGTGTATAAGTATATAAATAGGATTATTATTGATAATTTCTTTAAAATAATATTAGATTTTAAAAAAAAATTTATATATATAGTTAAATATAAAAATTTATGATCTCGAGAAAAATTAGTTTCCACAAAAGCGATAAATATTTTTATAAATACTATGGTACAAAAAAAAATATAAAAAAAAATTATGAAAAAAATCTTGAAAAATACTTTCGTATGAAAGAAAAATAGCTAAAAATATTTTTAATAAAATAATGCTAAAAGATACTTTTGAAATAGTTATTTTAAATTCATATATAGAGTGAATTATATAGAGACATATATAGAAGATAATTTTTTAAAATGATTTTAAATTCAAATGTAAATCATCTAATGATAGATACAAGAGACCATAAAAAAATGTCAAAAGGAGATCCATCAAAAAGAAGAATGACTAAAAACACTTATGTTGAATAATTATTTCTAAAAAATTATTACGAATCAATTTAGTTACTTTGTTTTAATATATAGGACTAATTGATCATCTATTTAAATATTAAATTCAGATAGAAAAAATTTGTTAAATATAAAAGATTATAAATAAAGATAAATAAGATTTCATTAAAGAAAAATATTTATATATTCTTGTTTGAGAAAAATGTTTTAATTTAATATGTGAGTATATTTAATTCGAATACACATCAAATATTTCTCATATTTTAAAATTAAAAGATTATAAAAAAGAATAGATATATAAATATAATAATAATAACATAAATGTAATATGTATTATTAAAAGAATTATATATATACTTAAATATGTCTCATGAACTTAGATTAATCATTAATTGTTTAGGGTTTAGATTAATCATTAATTATCAGCTTTGAGATATTATACACTATGTCTATGAATAAAAAAAAAACACTGTATATATAAATTTTGTAAACATGTGTGACAATTAGTTTAATGTTATTATATAGAGTGTACTACATTATTTCATTATCTTTTTATTCAATATTGATAATCATTGAAGTGTCATCTCATATCTAATATTTTTTGATAAATAAGAATATAGTTTATTTTGTAAGACATTTGAGTAGCTTATAAACTCATTTACCCTAATGCTAGTTTGACTAAAATAATTTTATTTGTTATGAGAACTTATTTTCATAAGTTAATTGAAATAATAGGGTCAGTCCAATATATTGTTAGAACTAAAGTAAATTTAAAAATGAGATTTCTTTAAAATTGATAATATCTTTAAGTAAAAAAATAAAAAATATTTTAAAAATAGACCTTAAAGAATTAATCATATTTACATATCTTTTAGAGATGGAGTTTTTAAAATGAGTTTTAAATAATATAAAATATTATGTTTAAAAAAATTAAATAAATATTAATATAATTATTTTTAAAGAGGCTTGAAGCAAGATAATCATTTGCGTCATACCTTGAAAGCGCTTACTACTTATTAAAGAGACAAACAAGACGTGGTTTATTAATTTTATAGTGTTAAGGAATGTTACCGTAGTTTCAGCGTTGCATATAACAATTTGCCGTTAAGAATCCATAAGCTTTCTACAGAAGGAACGCGTAAAGATAAGAAATGTAAGATGGAAATGGAAAGCTTGGTCCTAATTTATCATTGGTGTTAAAAAATGATGGAAAAAGAAGAAACTCAAAAAGTCCATGAATTTGATCTCTTGAGTAATGGCTTTAGCAGCTTGTCTTCTTCGAGTGCTACAAGACCTAAATGTGATGGATCATCCATCATCATCCTAGCGGCCAAGTAACCAGCAATGGACCAGGTCTGGAATTTACGGGCCTGCTTTCCAACGTATCGGCCCAACGTTCCATCATAATATTCGGGCCAGCTGTCCTTTGACAATTTGGTCTCAGCCACTTGTAGGGCACGTCTCGCAATTTGGGGTCTCCCAGTCTTGATCGACGCCGCAACCAGAAGCCATAAAAGAACTGTAACAACCATAAATAAACGCATGTCACATTCCTTCAAATTATGTATATTATCACCACTTTCTGAAGAGTAGATAGTAAAATTAAATTAAAAATATAAATCATGTTAATTAAGATATCCTTGAATTATTGTAAACTTTCTTAATACTAAATTAGAAAATTCTATTAATTCAATGTCTTTTAACTTGTGTACTATGTATATACACGATATAAGAAAATATGTTTCTTCTTTCAACCATATTTAATGAAGTAAATTAAATTATCTGATTCTATTAATAAGTTAGATTAAGGTATCAAAATCTGATTTGGAATTAATGAGATTGAAATCCAGAATGATAGCATAAGAATACCTGGCCAAGATCCCCCGTTGTGGTAACTCCATCTAGTATTTTTTGGGTCACATCCTGTTATGAGCCTCCATTCATGGCTTTCAAGAGCTGGATAACAAACTTTGACAGGCATATCCCCAACTAATTCCTCCCACCGTGATTCAATGAGATCCATGATTGCAGTTGACTGTTCAGTTGTTGCCATGCACGACAAAATTGCAATGCAATTGCCCAGACAAAACCACCGGAAATCCATCCTAGCAGGGCTCACATTCCCAAGAAAGTATCCACCATGATGAGGCATGAAATCAAATATCCAATCTGGTAAAGAATCAGGAATAACATTGAACTTGTTCACTGCAGTATGTGAGTACTCTTCTGTTTTGAACCGGTATACATCGTTAAGCTGCTTCAGATCCAACCAAAAGTAGCTCCTCATGTGATAGCTCAAGGCATGCAACCGTTTCAAAATTCTTTCCATGAACTCTTTCC